TATATATATATATATATATATATATATATATATATATATATATATATATATATATATATATATATATATATATATATATATATATATACATGTATATATAAAATAAATTTCTTTAGCTCTTTTACAGCAGTTCAAGTACTACATTGTATTTGCACGTGCAAGAAGGTCTGGGTATTCAAGAATGTCCACGACCATGCACACACAGCTGCGCTCGTATGTAGGCGCCACAACTAGGCTATACCACAGTCACAAAACGGTATCAACGGGCGTGTTACGGTTTAATAGTAAGTCTATGCATAGTTATACGGCCTCTCCCAACACGAGTATAAGATTAAATACAAGTCTGAATGCATCCCAACGGCCGCTACACAGTACAACTGCTGTGATGGCAACAAACGACGGTGACGTAGCAGCTGTGCTGACCTCTGATGATGATATTTCGTGTTCGGATAAAGGAAGCCCGAGTAGTAAAAAAGGTGAAAGTGGGGATAATAGTATAGGCTCCCGCGAAGAACCTGTGGTCAAGAAGGCTGCTGTAAAGACGAAAAGAGTTAGAGCCGAGGATAGACCCATGTTAAAGGCCGCGTAAGTGTTTACATTAGTCGATGGGTGTATATTTCTTGGATTATAAGTGATGTTTTTGCTTCAGACGACTTCGTGTTTATCATCTTTTTATATAACGTGACGTGGACAGGTTATGAAGCGCGTTGACTATTCTAAGAACATCCTAGCGACCAACCGTAGCTGTATGAATTGTATTAAGAACGAGACAATACGGAGTTGTTGTAGTGATATATATAAATATATATATGTGTGTGTGTGTGTATGTGTGTGTGTGTGTGTGTGCGTGCGTGCGTGTGTGTATAAATATATATCTATATGTGCATATATTTATATATATATATATATATATATATGATATAGGTGTGTGTATCAATGTTGTATTTAAATATATATTGGTACATTTTATTGAATACATATGTTATTATGTTATATATTCTTACAAATTTATGTTCATGGTGATAGCTATGCATATTTGAGTACAATATACATATATGTATATATGTGTGTGTGTATGCATGTATGTATGTATATATGTGTTTTATGTGTGTGTGTTTACTGGTACATTTAGTTATTTCTGCCCATATCCGTGTACGTGTATATATTGATTGATGGATATGTCTATGTGCATTCATGTGTGTAGATATATGTTGAAAATAATGCATATGTATATATGTACGTATGTATCAAATGTGCAGGTGTGAATATCACTGTATCTATGTATTTGAATATAATTATACAAGTATACGTATGTGTATGTGTGTATGATGTTGTTCGTGAATATATATATATGAAAAACATACACGAACAATATATATGTGCAAGTACATATACACATACATATGTATATATATATGCGTGTGCGCGTGTGTGTGTGTGTGTGTTTGTACTTGTATTTGTATGTATACATATGCATATATTTTTGTGTGTATGTATATGTATTTAGTATATGTATATATATATATATATATATATATGTTTATATATATATCTGTTTATATATATTATATATATATACATGTCTGTGTCTGTGTCTGTGTGTCAACGCATACCTAGACGCCAGCGCATATTTTCCCAATAGCCTGGATGCATAAGGTGGTAAGGAATCCTACAATTATGTTGTAGATTTTTTATCTGGCGGGTTATTCTTATTCTTATACTTACAGTTTGGCGCCGTATCAACCCAGCTTGATCCACCGCGCCGTTCATAAACTCTACGCATTGTCTCACATGTTAGCTGTGCACACTCTGTCACAACTACAGATTCGTCAAATCTTACAAAGACCAAAAGGCCCCGTTCGGGTTCAACGGATTGGGTGAGCTGGTCTACCGTCGCACTTATGCACGTGTTAAGGATGATGGGTTTAATGAAGAGTGGTACGAAACTGTCGAGCGTGTCGTAGAAGGCACCTTCAAGTTACAGAAAAAGTGGATGACCGAGAGACGCCTAGGTTGGCAACACCCGAGAGGGAGAGCCGAGGAGATGTATAAACGCATATTCGAAATGAAGTTTCTACCGGTATGCTGTTTGATCCTACATTCGCGTACTATGTGGTTCTTATTGCGTGTCTGAAGGGTTTCCGTGTAGTTCGGCATTCCCGCTTTTACGTATGGGTGGTACCTTCACTAACAAGCATGCGTCCGGAAATGCGAATATTTGCAAATGTGTACGGTTTGCCAAGATACCCACTTGATAAAGGCATCAGTCGCACCGCCTCGGACGTGCGGAACAGTTCATCAGCGACAACACACCCTCGTATGTACTAACTTCCCTTATCATACGCCTCCCCCTCCCAATCGTCGAATAGCCTGGAAGAGGTCTGTGGGCCATGGGATCTCCACTCACCGAAGAAAGAGGGCTCTATGCCGCACTGAACAACTGTGCGTTTGTGTCGACGGCTGATATACAAGACTCGCAGACCAATGTCTCTGCGCCGTTTAAGTTTCTGATGGATGCAGCGATGTTGGGGGTGGGGGTGGGTTTCGACACGCTCGGAGCTGAGCCCGGGAATGCGAAAAGAAGCCGTGCACCGGTTGTGAAGGTGTATATATATGTATATATGGTGAATATATACCGTTTTGTATTGTACCAGAACGTGGTGTTCACCATATGTGTATATATAAGTGTGTGTGTGTATTGTATGTATGTATGTATGTATATATATATATGTATATATTCTTAATGTATACGTATATGTATATAAATGTAAATCACCGATGCGGAAAAGTGAAATTATGTTCCATAGTACGTCGACCTTGCTATCACCCCATTTTTTACGATTTTTCCCGGTGTTGATTCTAGTGATCTAGTGAGTAAAGAATAGTGGTGTCTTCTGTAAAATACTTCGTTGTGTTTTATCACTCGCATTTCCACTCCGATGGCTTTTCTCAGGTGTCGTTTGTAGGGATCTGCTGAGTAAAGGAGATCGGAGCACTACATATATATCTCGTCGACGAATTTTATCACTCGATTATCATCATATTACCTTACTGCTGGTATGAACACTTTGTATATGTTGGATATGTTTTGCTGTCACTCACCCTTTCGCTCCGATTGTGGTATGAACAGGGACCTAGTGATCGAAGAAAAGCGATGATGGTTGAGATTGAGGACACACGGGAGGCCTGGGTGGACAGTGTAGCGCTACTCATCGACTCATACTTTGATGGAAGCGCTCGATTGGAGTTCGACTATTCGAAGATCAGACCGGCGGGAGAACCCATTAAGGTAGATAAATCTCTCCCCCCACCCCATGCTTGTGGATAGCAGTAGTGGTCCATGCTTGTGTTTATGCTCAAGTGTACGTTATATGCTGGTCTAGTCGTTATATGGGCGCTGGTCTAGTCGCTGACCCTGCTCTACCTAGTCGCATACTCTCTAGTTATACGGTGGTAGTACCTCATTGATCATTGATTTGCTGACCCTTCTCTACCTTATTTTGCACTCTCATTCCCACAGGGTTTCGGTGGTGTCTCTAGTGGTCCTCGGGCCCTCGAGCAGTTGCACAACTCCATCCGTGAAAGCTTGGACGCTGGAGTGGGAGATCACGTCACCATTACGCAGATTGTAGACATTATGAATATGATTGGCCGGTATGTTTATGGCGTCACATGGCATGGATGTAGTGGCCAATGTGGCTCTGATATGCGCACTATTGGTCTCTCTCAGCGGCTTCAACAGGATTTGTCTAGTCTAGTATAGATAAATATCAATCACGCGAACCTCGATAGTATAGTTTTAGCTTTCTTTGACTGTCATACGTCCTTTTTTTTTAATGGATGTCGTCTGCTGCTTGCAAAATCAGGTGTGTGGTCGCTGGAAACGTCAGGCGCGCCGCAGAGATTTCGTTTGGCGACCCCAAGAGCGCTGAGTATGTCGATCTGAAGAATTACGAAGTCAATCCGCAGAGGGAGGCTTATGGGTGGGCAAGCAACAACTCGGTTTTCGCTGAGCTAGGTATGTCTGCTAAGACATTTGGGTGGATGCTTCATTATTGCCGGACAATTTATTATTTACTAGTCTGGAGATTGGAATTCTCCTAGCATCTCTAAATGTCGCGTATATGGGTGAAGAGAACGATCGAATGTTCCGGTTTTCTTATATCTGTATGTGTTTCTTTAATACTGTACTACGCAATACCAGGCTTCAATGAAAGGCCTGTAAATTGCAAAAATTCTGAATAAGCAAACACACTAACTGCAAGATCACGAGTCGCGAGCACAATCGAAACCGGCCGGTATATCCTCCCACATTCTGCCTGAGAAACGATCAATTGGCCATTCTTTGTGCACATGTGATTTACTATCACGCATCTCATCTTCCGCACAAACAGTTAGCATACACCTACAACGCCCCTTTTCTTATCGAGTCTTCCCACTGATTGCTCAATCAGGCATGGACTACACATCAGTGTGCGAGCGCGTGCAGATCAACGGTGAGCCGGGCTTCGCTTGGTTGGACAACATGCGCCAGTACAGTCGTATGGATGGCCCCGCAGACAACAAGGATCACAAGGCCATGGGCGGCAATCCCTGTTTGGAACAGACGCTGGAGAGCTACGAGCTGTGCTGCTTGGTAGAAACCTTCCCGCACAAGCACGAGAACCTAGAAGACTTTTTGCAGACCCTCGAGTATGGTATGTTGGCTTGGTGCAGGTCGCTCGCTTGCGGTAGAAAGAGTGGTCTGTGTGTAGGGTGTGTGAAGTGCGCGGCGTAAAATGGAAAGCAAATGGTTTGGTTGCCTAATTAGTCACGACTTGGTCAATATAATGTGGCCACTACTGTCGCTTGGTATGGATTGAAATTCAGTGCACAAAACGAACTCGGTCTTGAGAAATTTCAGCCCATGGACGCTAATTTCATGCATATACTCCACACACTCTCGTCACTACAGCCTATCTATATGCCAAGACCGTTACCCTTGGGGAAACGCACTGGCCAGAGAGCAACCGAGTCATGTTACGTAATCGCCGTATCGGCTGCAGTGTCAGTGGCATTGCGCAGTTCATCAGCGATCGAGGTGTACACACGCTCAAGGTATTCTATAGCGGTTTCTGTCGTGATTTTCTCATATTCAGGTTCCAGTTGCTTTGAAGGGTCCGGTTATAATCGCAACAATGACTGTCGTGACTTCATAGAAACACATATATCCCTACAAAGGGAAGAACTATCCATTCCGCATGAATACGCATTTAGCCTTCAGTGAACCACTCGTTTTTAGTTTCAATAGTTGCCTCGTTTCACATTTATCCTTCAATGAACCCCTCGTATTTAGTTTCAATAGTTGCCTCGTTTCACATTTAACCTTCAGTGAACCACTCGTATTGAGTTTTAATAGTTGCCTCGTTTCACATTTAACCTTCAGTGAACCACTCGTATTTAGTTTCAATAGTTGTCTCGTTTCACATTTAACTTTCAGTGAATTACTCGTATTTAGTTCAACAGATGTCTCCTTTTGACGGCTTTATTGGCTGCCCAAGACCCTATCTGCTCGCATGAAACGCATACCCCAAATACTCCCCCAAACACCAACACCGCCCCTCTCCACGCTCGCAGGAATGGCTTGAGGCCGGCTACCACAAAATCCAGGAACTCGACATCGAGTACTCGGACGAATTCGCCGTACCCCGGTCCATTAAAACCACATCGGTGAAGCCCAGCGGCACGGTATCGCTGCTCGCCGGTGCCACACCCGGATTGCACTACCCGCACTCGAGGTATCAAATCAGACGAGTGCGAGCGGCCGGTGACTCGGAGCTGCTTGGGCCGTTGGAGAATGCGGGCTACGCAGTGGAGACCGGTATGTGCAAGAGGTGATAGGGGCGAATGTGCAAAAAGTGTAATCTGATACGTATTTAACTTCGCATATGTATTATATTAAGCATCGCATACACTCATTGGCTACTCGTGCAGATGTGTACAGCTCGGATACAAAGGTAGCGAGCTTCCCCGTCGACGTAGGCAAGAATGTGCGACCGTTGTCCAAAGTGAGTATGTGGGAGCAGTTGCAACTGGCTGCTTTCATGCAGCGCTACTGGGCTGATAACCAGGTGTCGTGCACGATAACCTTCGACCCGGAGACAGAGGGCCCCCATCTCAAGCATGCTTTGGACTTCTTTCAATACCAACTGAAAGGTATGTACGCATGTATGGTGTATCGAAGGACTCCAGTATTGCATATGGTACTTTTGGTTTTAATGCATGTGTGTTTTGTGTATGTGTTTTTTTGCGTGCGTATGTTCAAGGCTGTACTCCCTTTGTTATAGGAAGTATACGATTTTAATTTTGTTTGTGTGACCGCTGCGTTGGCCGTAAATTCGAATGTATTTTGGATCCCAATTTTTGGTCAATCAATGTCAGAGATTAGATTGGCGTACGTGTTGATTGCTTTGAGTTCGGTTTGTGGTGCTGCGCTATGAATACTGCGTTAATATATGGCATAGTATGTATCATTGTTGCGTCAAAAGTGATCACGTAGAGTGTATTCGCAAGCGTACGAGGACAATCACAGGTGTACAGCACTCCAGTGTCAATACATAACTGTGAACACATATGTCTCGTTCGCATACATTCTCGTCAACTATGTCGCGTGCATATACCAGCTTTGAATGTCACGCACGGTTATGAAAAACATACTCTTGCTTTATTTGTCATTTTGAGAGACCATATTTCATCAGTAGCTAGGGATTCGATTATATATGCCATGTGCTTGAAATCACAACACTGCCCCTTTAATGTGCTCAATCGGAAACCTAATTGTCGACGGCCGTATTCCCTTCTCTTCGCCACTAACCATCACGGACACATACGTTTGCCATACATTGTACAGGTATAAGTTTCTTGCCCAGGACACCCGAGGGAGCGTACGCTCAGATGCCCTACGAGGAAATTACGGAAGCTGAGTATAAAAGGATGATGTAAGCTGATTCTCGATGCTCATTGTCGCCTAGCGTCTTGTGTGTGTTTTACGTATCTTTTTCTTTACTATTTGTGTGCTCTGTTCTTGCGTAGATCAAACATAGGTCGTCTTTATGGCTGATTGTCTCATACCCTTCTCGGCAGTAAAGTACCTCACAAAGCAACGCAATTTGTATCTGTGACACCAGGAGAGTTCTGAAAGTGCAGTACACCTGTATGGCTTGGTTTTATAGCTTACGCTTCCTCACCCGCAAGCACTGTTTATCTCTCATCAATCAGGTCAAACGTCAAGCCCATTGATTTCAGTAAATCCAAAGCATCGGTGGAGCCCGACAAATTCTGCGATGGCGACTCTTGCACCATCGCATTGCCGCAACCCCTGACGGAAGAGTCATACGATGCCAAGAAATCCTACGAAGGTTAAACCATCCCAATCATAATCCGACTGCTCTATTGATTTGCATTCGCCACCGAATATAAAACTTAAGCCCCAAGCCCAACCAGTCCTATCGGCATGGAACCCGGCCACACATACTTCCCCGAGAGTACTCGGCTGAAGTGCAAACGTCGCTTACTATTCCTTGCGGGTGTATGCTAGGACAGACATTGTCGCACCCATCTCAAGGAGCGAAGACATGCGAACCATATTACAATACAAGAGTGTGTGTATGTGGTGGGCTCTCCATGTGTACGACCACTGCTCATATAGCTGCATCCTCGGGTCATACCATGCCGGTCCTCAGGTCGCCTCGACGAATGCTGGAGAATGCGAATGAGATTGGGCATATAAGGGCCCAGTCACCAAACACACGTATTAGCTGCATGCCCATTGTTTGGTGCAGTTCCGAATTTAATTAGCACACGAGTACAAACTCTTGCTGACACACGAATATATAAATTTGTACTGTACTTTTCTGTTATGGTCAGGTATGGCACATTCAGAAATTTGTATTATGTTCCTGAAACGGGGCATTAATGTAGGACCGTGCGAAAGAATCGTCCGACATTAAGAGCTCAAAGAAAAGATGGTGCCGTTGTAAAACTTAAATTGTAGAGAGTGTAGGCCGCTCATGTCTCAGCATAGATTAAGTCAGGCACCTTTTTTGCCCAGTAGTTAAAGGAATGCAATCTCAGGCAGAAGAAAATTAAAGCACAGTTAAATTGCAGAGCCTGTTTCATTTAGAAGGCTATGTAAATTGGCAAAAGAACGTCTCGGCTGCTCATACGGCACAATCACCGATTGACGAAGGTGGAAATCGCCGCACGCATATGCTCTATTCTATGCTCCGACACGTGCTCCTTTTATTTAAAATAGCAATTAATTGAGGTGTGTACCCACCATACACCCTTGTCTGCAGGAGCCACATGCTCTGACATATACTCCTCTGATGGAAATAGTAATCAATTGAGGTGTGTACCCACCATACATCCTTGTCTGCAGGAGCCACATGCTCTGACATATACTCCTCTGATGGAAATAGTAATCAATTGAGGTGTGTACCCACCATACACCCTTGTCTGCAGGAGCCACTCGCCTCCACTGATCAGTCGTACACCTCCATCCTCGTGCATGTTTGTCAAAAACTCTGCGTACTACATAACATCGCTCGATGCATACATTACGCTAACTCAAACTCGATTGCGAGCTGGTTGGCATCTGGAGTGTGCAACGCCCTGGCAACTGTACACTTCTCCCAAACCTTAAACATCAAATTGCCTCAATCTTGAGTTGATATGGTATACACTGCGTGTTTGGCGGTTTTGCCGCTACAAATTACAGAGTCCCTAGCAACATGAAAGCGCCTACACGGTACACATATGGCCACACCAAGCAAGTGAATTTCAACCATGCAGCCCACCAGGATGACAAAGCTATGACATGCGCTGCACTAAGGCTCGCCTCGATATCGGAGAAGAATCAGCGTTGGGTATCGACAGTAGTTTCTCAGTAGAACAGTTCCTTCATAATTCAGTAGTGTATCAGATCAATGCTTATCCAACTTGACCAGTTTCACTACATCGCCTTCAGCTGGTGGCCCATGGATGTCTTGTGCCACTAGCGAAGTAAGGTTGAGTGCCGTCTTCCATTGATCGACAGCTATCAGCGACACTGTGCAGGAGATGCGCAATTGTAAAGAATGAGGGAGATTATCAGCATCCCTGTGAGAAACTGGTATATCTTCAATTTATCTTGCCATAATCAAATCTTGGAACGCTTGCATCAGCATATAAGAGTACGATGTATTCGACGCATCCATGATCAGATGACTGCTGTCTCCAACCCTAGATACATGATTCGAAGCTAAAAATGCATACGAAACACTCATAAACTATACGTATAA